CATGTTGACTGGGCCTGATCACCCAGTTAACTTATCATTATCATTAACTGATCACCCGGTTAACTTGATCACTTATTCAAGTCTGAAACCCCCCAGGCTTATGTGCTTTTTTCAGTGCACATACATGCTCTCCCCAAAGGAGGAGGCCACGCTCTGACTTTCAACAAAGCACCTAGCGATGGTTGGAAGCTCAATCTCTTATTCAGTAGCCTCCCAGTTAAGAGAAACCAGAAGTGTGAGCGGACTGAGATAAATCCCATCTTGAGAAGATTTAAGAAGGTATTTTTCATCTCTCTAGGAAATACCTTACCCTTACTTACTACTTGGTGAAAGGAAACACTGTCAAACCTAAAAGCCACAACATAGGAGGTAGATATCGGACATTTAGTCTCTGTGTCAGCAACTGCTCGTTGACAGAAAAATTTTGTACTAATCACAGCACTCACGTGCTAGCAAAACCTCAGATTATACCACATTCCAGTCAGTATCCAAAAGGATTTCAGCAGTATAGCAACTGTGCATTTAAAAACTGGTTTTATAAGTAGAATTAAATTTGACAAAAAAAGTTTACCTTTTCTCCCACTAAGTTTTAATCAGTTCATTAAGACAGACCTTTTTCCCCACTTTTTGCACCCAATGTTCAAAAAAAATGGTGAAAAACTACCTGAGTAATCACTGAGCACATCATGTTTTGATGATAGAATTAACTTATTAACAAAATAAGAGAATGAGAAGGGAATAAGCAGAAATATACTGCTTCTAGAATCAGAGAGTGAAAGTACCAGCTAGAATATCAAAGCTAAGAACAGTAACACTTCAGCACAGTAGCACTTCAGCACACTGAAGTATTACTTGCAAAAAAGTAATTTATCCTAAAACCACTATTACATTCTGCTCCTTCAAATCTAACAGAACTAAGGTATCTGATGATTACTGTAGAACAGAACAAAACACCAAGCTATTTTTTTTGGTAGGAAGAGAAATTACATTTTAAAAACTATTTTACCTTTTGAAAGAATGTTGAAAAATCTTTTGTAACATTTCCTTTGGCTGCTTTATTTTTCAAGGCCATCTCCTCAATCGTGTCTTGAAGGAATTTAGCCAATTCAAGCTTTACTCTCAATTCTTTCTTCAATCTTTCCTCCTGTTAAAAAAATATCTGGTTTTAAAAGTTCTTTCCAGAAATATGAGTATTAAATACCATTTCTTCTGACCTCTGACAAGTTATGTGGAGTACTTCTGAACCTCTGCTGTAACACACACATCACAAGAGGACATTCAAGCTTAGCAAAGATTCCCAAAACGCACTGAAAAATAGGCTGATCAGCTCAAAGCTCCAGGAAGCATGAGATGCAATGCTAACAGTGAAGTACAGCATGAGTGGTCTCGCCTACTAAAACTAACACATATCCTCTGAATTAGTAACAAAAAACCAGAAACTAATCAATTTGGGTTTCAGTAATTCCCAACTCTTGTAACCAGCGCAGAAATCCTATGCTACATCTCATCCAAACAAACAGGAATTTATCACAGAATTAGAAATTACTTAGAGTTACTTAGATCCAAGTATACAATCATGATTGATCGTGTGTGACTGACTGGGAGCTCACTATGTACAAACCTTACGTATTTTGCGCTCTGAAAGTGAGAACTTGCGGGGCTTTTTGGTATGGTTTTACAACAAGCAAACAATTCCAAGAAAATTTAACTAAAAAAGTTTTTTAAAAATAATGAATAAGAAGCTATTTTACATATTAATTATATATACAAAAATCCTTGCATGAAGAACAAGGACTTTCATTAAAACAAGGTCTACCTATTTTAATATAAACTAGAAAAATAAAGTTTCGCAGCTTTCATTTCTGCTTTGTAAGAGTCATAGAAAATGGAGATGAGGACAGCAAAAAAGACACGAGAAGCTTACAGCCCTGATAGCTAAGCACCTGTGCATACAAAAAGGTAAACCAGAATGGCACTGGTTCACTATTGTATGCTAACAGCAAGATCACCAAAATAACATAAAGAAGACAAAAGTTAAAAAAAAAATATCTAATTTTTAGAATTTTTCTGATTTCTTTCTTTACAGAAGAAAGTTTTTATTTTTTCAAAACATATTACTGGATTATAAATTCAGACCTGCTTACCTTTTTAGACTTTGTCTCGAATGTAGAGGGAAGCATATTAGGGAACAATTTAAGAGCTACTGGAAGCAAAAATTCCATAAATGGGACAACAAGAAAAACTAGGAAAGGGACCAAGCGGAAAAGATCGGCACATATTCGAAGAAACTGGAGGAAAAAAAAAAAAAAGACATGTATTTATACGGAAAATTTTAAATATTTATTTTAAAAATACTTGATATGATCATCTACATTATCACTTAAGCTCACATACATGTATTTGCTACAAATGAAATGTAAAATAACACAGAAAAATGATGTGACGTCAGTTTTTAATATCTTTTTCTTCAAGTTGCTATATACTACAGAGTGCCAGAGTTTCACCAGTTTTCAACACTTATAGAAAGTATTTCAAAAGTCTCACTGTGTCTCAATAGGATTATTGAACAAGTATCTCATTTAAACCTCTTAAAAGCACCTGAAAACAGGAGGTGGTCATTTGTTGTCATTAAAGCTGCTTAACTTCTTTTATTCATCTTTATTTGTGCTCCACCACTTCTTACATGCATGAGCTACTGTGGACTAAGTAATCAAGAATAAAATGAAAGATTCGTCCTCCTCTGCCTTATAACAATTGTAATGTACATTTAAATCCAGGGTAATGAGCCCAGCTTGGTAGATTCTTTTTTTTTTTTTCTTTTTTTAAATAACTGCTTTTCTAGAGCAGTAATCCTCTGAAAGAGGCCGATGCATTAGTTACCAAATCTTGAACTGCATAAAATAAATATTGTCCTTCTGATTTCTGTACACCCACAAATGTATATATTAGGCTGTACAGTCTATATTCAAATCTTTCAGTACTCCTTGGAAGCTTAACAACTTGGTTTCTCTTGGAGAGTGCAGATCTTGTTTGACTCCACCTCATTTCACAAAGCAAATAACTGGTTATTGGGAACAATGTCAGTTCCTAAATCAGAGACTGGAGGTCAGACATACACTGCAGTACATCACTGCCTCAGCACTGTCATTCAACGTTGTGATTTGATAAACACAGCTACGACTGGCAAAAACTGGCAACATAAATGCTATTACACAAGTAAACGCATGCTTTCCCCTCCCTCCATCCCCTGCCAAACCAGGGGAACAGCAGCAACCACCAGTATAGATTGCACGTCACTGGGACCACTTTGCTAGAATACAGAACCAGTAAAGCTCTTAACCATCATTTTCTTAGCATAAAACCAGACAAAATACTAAATACAGTTTGAGGCATGCACAAACGCCACAGATCCAAAGTTCGACACATTTCTTTGTATATAAAAAATTCAGTTTCCCAGAAGGGATGCTTTGGTCCATTGTTTACAGGCACAAAGATTTTGCCATTCATTCCAACAATAGAAGACAAATGACTACCAGGGAGTTCAAAAATATGTAAGAAAGCTTGGAAGAAAATTTTAGAAGCCAGAAGAACAAGTACATTTTCCCTTAAAAAAAAAAAAAGCTCAAAAATTTCTATTTTCTACAAAAATAGTACAGAGTTCCTATTTATATTCCATATCTATTTTTAGATAGCGCACGCACGTATTTGCACAAGGCAAAAAGCCGTATGTAAGGAAGCAGTTTTACAACCAGATTAAGCTGACCTAACGCTAACCTGAGAAAACGCACAGAGTCATGAACGGACATAAGTAGTCACAATGCAAAGGTACACCAGGGATCCAGCTAAAACTAACCTAAATACAGACACAAACAAGCGGAAAAGCATCAGTAGAAACCAAAAGCGGGGCAGGGGTTGGGGGAACGTAGGAAAACTTGATTTAAAGACCAAGCAGCAGGACTAGCCTTTTTTGCAGCTGCACTCTCCTGGATCAGCTTACATAAATCCCGAAACTACACCCTCCGCTAACTCAAGGAAAACAACTTTGGACAGGAATCTAATACAATGGTTTATGATTACACACACATTATTTGGCAGCACAGCATGAAAGACTTGTGACTACTCTGTATCTGCCGCTACAGTTCACGTAATCCACTTTTCCCTCCTCTGCAGGGCTGAAGAGTTGGAAAAGCTGATACACTCGCTACAAACTCCATCGTGTTTTGCCATCTCAATTCCATGCCCTGAACCATCCCTGCTGTAGGAAGCAGCACTTGAGAGAGCAATCAGTTTTTAACAGCCAGTATCACATTTTGCATGTTTTACATCTTCCTGCCTTCTCTCCTAAGAGCAGATAGGTAATCTTGTTGAATCCAAACCCTACTAGCAACTGTACAAGCAGAATCTGGAACCGACTTTTGGTTTACATAAGCAATAGCTCCCTCGCATGCTGCAATGGCTTGTTCATGTGGTTAGATTACTTGGATATCTTTCCATTATTGCCTCCAAAGAGGAAGGAAAGGGCAGGCAGAAATAACTCATTTGTCAGTCTGCGTGAAGGTAAGGTTTCTCTCGGACTGTCAGTTCACATGCAGTTTCATATATTTAAAGCAGTATGTACTTCAAATTTATTATTTTTTTAAGAAGTTCAGGAGCAACTTTTGCAAAGTTGTAGCTAATCTGTCATCAGAGTTTTAAGACTTCTTTAAATTAGTCAGTGTACTACAATCTAAGACTGAACTGATAAAAGATTAACTCTGTCGAAACAAATTTTAAATAAGGTTTAAAAAAAGCAAATGTAAAGGGTTTTGTTCAACTGAAGGCTGGTTTGCTTTTCAGTGACCCTGGCTTCTAAGCCTACTGTGACTTCATTCAAGAGACAGAACATACTCTACCTCCATATAGAGAAAACAGAAAACCTGGATTGAGAAAACAACATTACTGTAGTTCTTAAAACTATTTTCTCGACATCTTCTACACTGGATTGCACGCACACAGACATATGCACACACACATCATTAGATAAGAGACAGGCTGCATGAATGCAAACACTGATTTATACCTGCACAAGAAACCTGTCTTATTTAAGGGAATTGATATTGAAATTGCACATCTGCACAAAAAAAAAAAAAAAATATTCAGGAAGGCCAAGTGCCAGACCACTACATAAATGAGAGAAAGACAGCTCTGTCATCACTAGGTGATGACAGTAAAGGCAATCAAATGAATAAATCCATCTATTGATGGAACAATGCATGCGTCCAAAGATAATGTGTTACTTCTAGAATACAGTAGTCCTAATCTTTCACCAAAAATATTTCCATGATATCCATATTTTGCTGTTGTTTGTACAATTTCTCAGAAGTATGGCTCACTGAGCATGGAACAGGCAGGGAAACCAACTGTTCCAATCTTGCCTTCTGAAGGTTTTCCGATTCTGTTTTAAACCATGAATTAATTTGTCTCACTTGGTTTTCCAAGTCTCCCAAAGCTCTCAATAAGCCAGCACAAGCCAGAACTGCAACTTCAAGCAGTCCTGTGGTCCTCGTTCCCCCCTATCCTCAGTTACTCCATCCTGGCACTACATAATCCCCTCTCTTATGTCAGCACACTGTTATATTTATTGCTGAGCAATGTTTCAGCTGGATCAGCTGCCAAGCATGCTCTTGTAACAGCATAGGGAAGAGGGCAAAAATAAGTAACACAAAGATGCTGAGACCAAATACCATCAACCAGTGCTGTCGTAGAAAGAGACCAAACATAATCACAGATAAAAACTGCTACATGTGCATTTAACAATCTTTTTGTCTAACCTTGTGAATATAGAAAATAAACTTCCGTATACCGCATTAAGAAGTGATGTTTTTTTAATTACACGTTGAAATATTCAACTACGTACTGAATTTTATCAGGAAATTATTTAACCAAAGAGAAAATATTCATATTTTTGATCATTTAACAAAATTTTTGAAGGCAAAGATGTGAACCTAACACATTGTGTGTACAGTGTACAAAGTGCAGCAAACCAGACCGTGATTGCAAGCAGCACTATTCACTCCTGCTGCCAGAGTACATACACTTTTCACTCTCCAACATTTCTTCCAGCACATTTTTTTTTCCTGCAACAGCTGAAATGCCTTTTTTTTTAAAAAAAAGGAAGACAGGAAGACAGATTTTCATATTTTATCTGTATAAATGGCTTAAACGTCTTGTCTTTAAAAACAGTAAAACGAGAACTATTAAATCAGTTAATGATATATTGTTATATAAAAGGATATATTGTTAATGAACTGGTGAAGTTGAATACCAATGCATTCTTTCAAAATTTTTTTTTCAAACTATACCAGTTTTAAAACAGTTTATTATTTTGCAGTGTTTCATATATAAGAGCTCACATCAAATGTTTTTAAATATCCACGTATCTTGAATAGTTGAATAAGCATATTTACTTCATCCACAAACTGAAATTACTATTGAAATGCATGTATATTATTCGAATTTGAAAGCACTCTCATTTTGCACTCCAGATTTCATTTCCATTCCCTCTTTTCTTTAAAATTACGAGTTGCATTTTTATAGTTTCATAAATGTAAGCTACATGGCATAAAGAAAAACAAAAGTATAAACCAAAAACTTTACTCAAATTATCTTCTTTGGACTACAATTATCTCAGAAATATATTTATGACTGAGACCGTACTAATATCTGATTATCAATCATGCATTTCAGTCTGAAGCTTTTCTTCTGTTAAAAAAAACCACCACAACAGAACTGGCACAAACCCAATCTTTAATGGAAGTCTTTTCCTTCTATTTTTCCAGCTGTAGTGAAAAAGCAGAGAAAGCAGCCCTGTACACACATGTAGCACATGGATGGGAGCTTGAGAATAAACCACAACTGCTGTCCACATGACAAAACAGAAGAATCCTCTGCTGTTCCAACTAGAAAATACCTAATTTATCTTCAATAGTGGGAAACAAGGCTAAAATGTTTTGGAGTCAAATCCAAAATTTTTAGTGTCCACATAGGGAGGAGGAAGAAAATACAACTAGCAATTTTAATTTTAGGAACAGAAGACAACAGAAAGAAACAACTCAGTTAAAATAAAATGGAGCAATCGCTCAGGATACTCAAACGAAATTATTTGCTCAGTACCTGTCTCCGTTCTCGACGAGACAAAGTGTTTCCATGAAGTATTCGCCAGAGCATCCTTGCAGCTATTTTTGTGTCAATCCACAGTAACCGAAAACCATGGTAATAGTGCTTCAGTTCGTCCACAACCCTCTGTCCAATGGATTTTTTCACAACTTCCACTTCTGTTGGACTATACACAGGACCTCCTTCTTCCAACTTCTTGTTTTTGTCCTTTAAGGACTTCAGTGACTTTTCAACTATGGAGTCATCTTGAAGGGGACGTGAAGAATGCCACCATCTAACTGGAAGATACTGGGGACCTAAAACACCCAGGGTTGCTAGTGGCGTCCATGAGCCAGAAGAGCTCGTAAGAGTAAAGTGTATTTGTTCAGATCCTTTAGTCCAACAACAGTAGCGATCTTTTTTGGAGTATGTGTAAACAGGAGGGACACTAGTGCAGTATTTAAAGTGTACAGTCCTTCAGAAGAAAAAAAGCATTCAAGAATTAGCAACAGATCATAAACTATTTATATATTTATATATATTTGTACAGTTATATAAACTTACGTACTTCTAAAATGCATCGTTTGAGAAATATCTACTGCATATTTAAGAAAAAAAAAACAAACCTGTGACTCTCAAAACGTCTCACGATGACTTTACCTGAGAAGAATGTTTGGCTGTACTTGATGACAAAAAATAACCTGCAGTGAATTTTCCATTGAACTGCTTTCAGAAGATGGCTTATTTTACACAAATTACAAGCAGAAGTGCTTTCCACTTAGAAAGCTACATTTGAAAATAAATCTGTAAATTCCTAAGTAACATAAAGCCCCTTCTATTACTTCTCCTGTTTGAACAAAACACTTGAGAAAAAAATACAAGGTGTAGACTTGGGATAGGTGCTGAGTTAGAGGAAGAGAATTAGTATCAGAGAAATCCAATTTCATTAAAGCTCCTCTGTTACTATTTCCATGCATCTAGTTTTCCTTTTTTAGCAGAAACTTTATGCACAAAATTCCATTATTGCTCAAACATCCCACTCATTAAACACACAGAAGAACTACTCACTATAGTAGGCTTGTACACACTTTTATAAAAGGATATGACAAACTTATAAGTAGTATAGTAGATAAAATATTATAGTATTTTAGTATATATATATAGTATATATATAATATATATATAATATAAAACAGTAGATAAAATAAAATAGTATAGAGTAGATAAAATATTTCATATAAATGAGTTCCATTAGGTATCCCTCAAACTGAAATGCCAGCATTAAGTCATCTCCAGGACAGAAATGACTGAGGTGTTTTTTCACCGAGCTCTTGTATTACCAAAACAAAATCAGAATATCTATTTGTCTTCAGCCAATGAACAGAAAATAGGTTCAAGTGGCTCTACAGCTCTGAGTAAGTTTAAGGGGAAAAAAAGTTTATTGAAAATTTAGAAGCGTCTCTCACTTCAATGAGTACTAGCCTCACACGCATCCAATGAATTTTAAATTACTTGAATGGTTTTATCCATTTAATGTTATTCAAATGAAGCTTTGCACAAAATAAAAAATACTAAATTGTTACTTTTTAAAGACACATAATTATTTTCTAGCATCAACTAAAGTTTTAAGCATCTGACCATTCACTGGTCAGACAACTGCTGAAACATACACAGCTACACAAAACATTTTCTTCATTAGCTAGAAAACTACACACTTGCACAGAGATTAACTAATGAGAATTACGGTGTCTTTAAGAAAATACAGTACACGTTCAAAACCAGATTAAAACACTTGCATAAATCAGTCCATCCTGACTCTAAGTCGCTTCCCAAAAGCAGAGCTCCAGGCCTACAAACCAAGTTCCACCTACACACATATACATTCTTCTGCATGCAGAGAGGAAGGCAGCTCTGCCAGCAGAGCTGGTTCTGAAGCTGCAGGGAAAAAAGTCTTCCTAAGGAATGTTTCTCTTTGAACACGCTTTCACTAGCAGGATGTCAGACACAAAACTTCTATCCCAAGCTGTCCTCAGCACTTGTATCATTAGAGTCCGTTGCTTTTGGATCTGGGTCATGTGGGGAGTAGGCACTAGATTGTTTTCTTTTAAGCAACAACATTACAATAACAGCAGCTTTTGGTTTAAAAAAAAAAAAAAAACTTCTCAAAAGAATAACAAAAATTTCTGTCCCAATATTCTGCTGCTCATACACCAGACTTAAAATTTGTCTCCATTTTTCCAACAGAGAGGTGCCATATAATAATCTATTAAAAAGCACACAGATTTTAAAACGTATTCTGTATTAAAAACTCTCATAACTAGTTACACAGTGATATAGAACTAACATGACTAAGAAAAGAAAGGAATTAGGTTGGGTTTTTTTGTATGAAAGGGTTACGTCTAGAGACATACCCTTATGCTAAAACAGAAACTTGGGAAATTGAAGAATAGTCACTGTTTCCTGAGGAGTTAGACTGTAAATACACTAGAGAAAACGTGTTTTAACATTCCAAGGAAAGACATTAGGAAATTCATATCCACAAGTATGCCTTGTGAGCCAAGTCAGAAACAGAGAATGGATTCTGCCAACATCCAACTCCTTAAGTTCCACAAGGGCGGCTGGAGTCGTTTTAAGAAGAGGATGCCATCTCCTAGGAGAGCCTCACCTAAGGCTGTAACACACAATAAAAACTACTTTGGCTTAATAAAGATACAACTCAAATGATCTACAATCCTAACTGTAAACTATGTTTTTCAAACTAGCTATGACTCTCTACTCCATAGCACAGAGAAAGTATGCAAGAAACCCATGATATCCCGTGATGTCACCTGGAATCACTCAAAAACGAGATTAATATTCTATCGCTTTCACATCGTAAGCATAACAAAAAGGGAAGAAGCAGGCAAAAAAAAGAAGATCTCACTCTCTCCCACACACTATCAAGCAGGTGAAGAGAGAATACTCAGACTTCCTTTAATCTGTCAGTAACACAAGCTGAAGCTAATATTTTCACACTTTTTCTAGAAGATTTAAACCTACATTCTATGATAGTATACTAACTGATGGTTTTGTACAGTGTTGAGTTTAGGAAAAAAGTTCACGTTTACTCACATTTTGTTTGCCATCCTCAGGGACGTGCAGCTAAGACATGCCCGATCTCCCAAGTTACCTAGAAAAATACCAACAGTTAGCATTAATTCTGAAACTCAGGAAGACATTTATCCATATAGTGAACTGTACACAAATATATGATTTAAAAGACTGACCTTTACTTAAGAATGGCTAATACTCAAAGCACAAAAATGATGCTGCTTAACAGCAACTGGACTTCCTTATGGTGCACTGTTTCTCAGCACATTCACACTTTGGATGATTGTGCATCAAAAAAAGCCAAGACTCTTTGACAACAACCATGTGAAGTACTAAAGTCCAAGCACCTCATCCTATTCCAACACGTCAAAGCACATGCCTTGTTCTTTTTTCTCTCAATCTGTAATCCCAATTTATAGGATAAAAAAAGAGAAAACAAGTAGGAAGCAATTCTGTAACACAGATGACAGCTCCATAAGCGTTGACACAAACTGTCTGTGCATACAGTCGAACTCTGTGAGATATTGCCTGCACTTGTTCAATTGCCTGAAGACAGGTTTTCAAGTCTCTCAGACAAGCAACTATACTGTAGAAAAACTTCACTGACAGCAAATGTAATTTTTGAATGGCTCCATGACAACACAGTATTAGATGACCTAAACAGAGCACTTGCCAAGTGTCTAGGATGAAAATGTTTGGGTTTTTTTTTTGTTTTAAGTAAGACAACAAATAAAATGTGAGTAGGAACCTAAACACACTTTGCTAGAGAGGTGGAACTACAACACCATTTTAATACATTGCTGTCCATTTTGATTAGTAGCAGGTAAAAATAGCTCTACCCCTGGATCTCTCTGAAAAGGATACAGACTGTCTTGAAGGGCAAGAGACTGATCCAAAGAATATGAAAGGCTAGTTTTCCAGCGAGTGTCCCTCAAAATGAATTTTATTTGAAATGTTCACTCAGAATCGATCCTAATAATAACTAATAAAGTCCACGAGGAGGACTGACACCTATATATGGGCATTCTCTATCCAGGTAGAGAGACAAGCAGAACCCAGTCTGGTTAATAAATTAAGGAGACCATGAAATGACAAATTATCTAAGTCAGTTCACATGCCATGCTTGAAAGCCTCCAATCATCCAACGCCATGGCACCATCAGCTACGTAAAAAGCTACCTAGTGGCTGTATGCAATGTACAATCACTCAAATCACCCTCAAGCTCACCAGAAAAGAATCAATCTCCCTAAAGCAATTAAAAAAAAAAAAAAATCTTGTATTGATATCTAGCTCAATAACTCAATATCGCAGTGCAAAAAGACTCCTGAACAGAACAAAGGAAAATCACATGAGCAAGACCCCAAATGCCTTGACTCTTTTTGGCCCATCTTGTCAGAATTCACCGTAATAAAACAAAAATGGAAGCCCTGATGGAGTGGGCATGCTGTGGCTTGTTTCTCCCACCTGGAACCTACTGTTTCTGGTCAATCCTAAGAGACAGCAGGATAGAAAGGTCGTTTTAGAGGTTAGTGGTCGACCTTTCCACCATTAAAGCTAAGATATAGCCTATGACAGAACCTGAAGTAGACAGATGTATCTGAGAAAACACAGCACTCAACGCTGATCGCAAAAAGCCCTCCCCAACAAAATATCCTAATTATTAGAGGAAAAGGTGCGGCAATCAGATAGTATGGAAACGAGGAGGAGGGGGGTGGAGAAAGATAAGTTAACTTATCCAAGAAAAATCTCAATAAGCAAGGGATGTCCCATGCTAAGTGGGCTTTGATGTCATTATAGCAAAAGCTATGGCATTGTAAAGTCAAAGGAAAAGGATTTACCCATCTCAAGTCATATCAAACTCTAACAGGTACTCACTGCCACTGCAAGGAGAAATTAGGCAAAAAACTGTCTCTTTCTGGCTCAAAAATCAAGCCCCGAGAATCTGTGAAGGCATTCTGATACTCTCCAATATTTGCAGAAACATCAGTAATTGAATCTCTTGACCCAAGAGTCTAGCCATCTCAGAAGGGATGTCCCTGACTTTAAGGAATAGCTGAGTAAATCAGAGAAGTACTCAAAGTCTTGAGGGATAAGTCGCAGCAAGGTAATCTGTTTCTCTCACCTGAGTGCCGGGAAGCACACAAAGCCTATATGCCATAAATGAGAGTCTTACTAGGAGAGGACATTACCTGTTACAGACAGGTGCCCTTAGAACAAAGGAGGATGATCTGGAGATCAAAACTGGCTTGAAATTTCTTAGATAAATCTCCGTAACAGTAAGACACTTTCACTTCACTTTATTTTTTTTCAATCAGATGCTAAGGAAGGGGTCAAAGAACAAAATTACAAGGTTATCATTAGAAAATACGCTGACTCAAACACTTTTTGCCATACAGCCATTCAGAGTGTGAATGGGCACACAGAAATATCATTCTATCAAAAGATTCTGTAAAGTAACTGTTAATTTCAACTTTGCCAGTTCTGACAAGAGCTCTTCATGTTTTGCAGTGTCTGTTCTAACCACGTACCTAACTGCAAGCCAGCCCTGAAATAAAACATATACTCTCTTCAGAAAGGAGCAAAGTCCATACTCCTTGCTTCTAGGATAATACAGACACCCAAAAGTGTCTGGACAAGGTCAGTGTAGCTTACCATACTCAACACTTCGTTTGAGTACACATTCAGCATATGAGCAACCTGCATTAGAATTACTTAGTTTAGAAGTAAGAAGGGCAATAGTGCCAGAAAAAGCTATATGTTAACATATTCCTCATGGAAAAGAAGTCATGAGAAATTTTATTTTTAAATTTAATGAAACATCAAAACTGAAGTTTTAACTGTAGAAAAGCTGTGTATTGTTACTATGTTTAGAGTTTTTAAAAAGAAAAGGCTAACATAAAGTGAGTCCCTACAGAAGTATAAGCTTGCAGTACTTAACAGCTTGATCTTTAAGGGAAGAACATTTAGGATTCTTAGAAGCACTTAGCTTTAACTTAATCTTAGACTACTTACACGCAAAGCAAAGAAGATGAGCTAAGTAAAGCAAAACTCTATATAAAAAATACACCACACAATAACATGTTAGTAACAGATTAACGCTACAAATAAAACCATTGATTGTATCACAAGCAGAGTGCATCACAGCACACAGATTATTTGATTCTATCGCAGTATTTCAACAAATGAGAATTTTCATGTGGGGTAAGACACACAAGACTCTAGTGATCGTTAGCATTTCTTCTTATGCTATGCCTCGAGAAGAATCAAAGCTCCCATCTAATTTCAAGGTACATGGATGTGCTTCTTCCCTGTTTTAAATAAACTGGATGGCTAAGATACCCCAGGCTTTCGTTCAGGTCACTACTGTACAAGCTCAACCTAAATAAATGCCTTTACAACAGTAGCAAAAAAAATCCCAAATCCATCAACAAGAAGCAGCTACCACACTCCAGTGATTATTGGTAACCAACAAGTCAGCTTATTTATCAAAACGAACAAGCATCCACAAGGTTGATCAAGTCTGACAGAATCTGAGTGTGCAGATACCCTGTTCCTAATGACAGCACTTCAGTGACAAGTCAGAGCTCAGTGTCGGTGACAAACCGCTGCCTGTTAAGATTTCACTCATTCCTCACTAAAGCCCTGCCGATCCAACTCATGGACGTAAAAAGCAACCACAGGCCTCGTGCACGTCACACGCCATCAGCTGTTTCATGTCATTAAACTTCACCGCCCAAAGATACATAAACCACCAAATTATCTTGATTATTAACGGAAACAGTATCACGCATTGCGTTTCCTTTTTATTTTCCCAAGCTTTCGAAGCCACTTGGAAAAAGGCAAATTGACATTTCCTTTCTAATCTAAACTAAGAAAATAACCTCTCGTACTTTCTCAAAGGGTACTGAGAAGTGTGTAACTAGTGACAACACGACTTCACAGGCAAGCTATCGTGAGAACAAGGCAGGCAGGTCTGAAATGTAATAACTTACTCCTGTACCTTAATGAAAAACACACGATTTTTTCTTCCTCAGCCAGCTGCCATCAAGAGGTGCATGTGTCCTAACTGCCATTAGGGGAACGCATCCCCCCAGACCACCCTGACAGGGAACCAAACGGGAAGAGACGAGCTGCTCACGCTCGGCCACAGCAGCCAGGGAGCGAGGGCGC